GATGTGCTTGTTCCTGCTCGAATTGGCTCGAGAAATTCAGACACAGAGTATGTGTGACCGCTTTATTGAATTTCCTCCTCAAGGACTTCGCTCTCTGTCAAGGTTAGAGGGGTACATGCTGCAGCTTTCTTGATGTCTGTTTCCGTCTGTCAATTTGCCTCTGATGTTATTTTTTTCCGTGCATCTCTCTCTCTCTCTCTCTCTCTCTCTCTCTCTCTCTCTCTCTCTCTCTCTCTCTCTCTCTCTCTCTCTCTCTCTCTCTCTCTCTCTCTCTCTCTCTCTCTCTCTCTCTCACTCTCGCTCTCACTCTCACTGTGAGTGTGTGTGTGTGTGAGTGTGTGAGTGTGTGAGTGTGTGTGTGTTAGCGTTGACCTGAGTGCAAATCCCGTATCACCCGTGGATGGTAACCCCGGCCATTTCTTGTACAGAGGGGCTGCTATAGAACAGTAAACAGACAACCTGTCATACCAGTAATAACCATTGTAATAAATGGAACTAAACTATACTACTATGATTATTATTATTGTTATTATTATTTTCATTCTCTCTCTCTTTCTCTCTCTCTCTCTCTCTCTCTCTCTCTCTCTCTCTCTCTCTCTCTCTCTCTCTCTCTCTCTCTCTCTCTCTCTCTCTCTCTCTCTCTCTCTTCTCTCTCTCTGTCTCTCTCCCTCTCTCTCTCTCATTTTCTCTCTTTCTATTTCACTTTCTCTTTCTCTCTCTCTCTCTCTCTCTCTCTCTCTCTCTCTCTCTCTCTCTCTCTCTCTCTCTCTCTCTCTCTCTCTCTCTCTCTCTCTCTCTCTCTCTCCTCTCTCTCTCTCTCTCTCTCTCTCTCTCTCTCTCTCTCTCTCTCTCTCTCTCTCCCTCTCTCTCTCTCTCTCTCTCTGTCTCTGTCTCTCTCTCTCTCTCTCTCTCTCTCTCTCTCTCTTCTCTCTCTTATTCTCTCTCTTATTCTCTCTCTTATTCTCTCTCTTTCTCTTTCTCTTCCTCTCTCTCTCTTTCTCTCTCTCTCTCTCTCTCTCTCTCTCTCTCTCTCTCTCTCTCTCTCTCTCTCTCTCTCTCTCTCTCTCTCTCTCTCTCTCTCTCTCTCTCTCTCTCTCTCTCTCTCTCTATTTCTCATTTTCATTCTCTTTATCCCTCTCTTTCTTTCTCTCTCTTTCTGTCTGTCAAGCATTATCAATCTCTCCTTCACTCAGAATGAAGCTCATCTCTACAGCATGAATCAGACATTGGCAGACGTATAAGGGCGGTGAATCACTCTCCATAGAACAGGTTGTCATTCTTAATATTTGCTCGGCTAAGAGGTTAAGGAAAAAAAGAATGCGATGGGGTAGTAAGTAGGGTAAGAGGATATTGATGATGATGAAGATAAAGAAGATAGAGAGATAGAGAACATGTAGTGGGTTAGGGGGTGGGGTGATAGATACAAGAATAGTATATCATCATGTCACGTTTCGAACTGACGTGCTATTTATTTGTGTATTAGTTATTTTGTAGGAAAATGGATAACTGAAAAAAAATCATCTGAGAAAATAAAATGTTAAGAGTGTACCTCAACAACAGCCTTTATTCCCCCTCCGTTCACCCTCATCCTGGCCTCTACATTCACCTTTTGCCTCCCCCCCCCTCGCACACACCCTGTCCCCCTTTCACCTCGGTCTCCCCCTCCCCCTTCCTCCACCCTACATGGCTACAACCTCGTAGTCGCTAACCTACGGGCTGTGTCTACGTCTCCCCCCCTCCCTCCCACGCCACTCCCTCAGGCCCACACCCCAACCCCCCCCTTCTGGCCTTGGGCATCACGTGGACGTCTGGGAAGGGCGTCTGGTGGCGAGGGAGCCACGGACGCCGGTCGGGACTCGGCCCTTGCTGGGAGGCGGGGCGGCGCTTCGAAGGGCCGACTCCTAAATACTTCGTCGCGGCTGGGAACTGCCAAGGATATGTAGAGAATCCAATTAGATGAAGAGTAATTATACTACATGGTTTGAATAGAGAGGGATCACACAAAGGAGAAACAAACAATTCACAAAAAAAATAAAACAACGAAGAATCCTTTAAAACAACAGACACAAACAAACAATGAAACAACATACAATAAAAAAACAGTGAAAAACAGCAAACCATGAAAAATAACCATTAAAACAATGAACAAAAACAACAGAGAAACGAACCATCAACCAAACAGCAATATAGTGCACGAGCATAGTACGCCCGACGCCCCAAACCAACGGAGAGTAACTACGGACGGAATTACGAACGGCAACTTGCAACGATGCAGATCCACGGACACCCAATGCAGATCGACGTCCATTATGGGAGTTACGGAAGGATAGTGACTTGCATGCGGTCACGGGCATTTCCTAACTTTTGGTCACTGATGGTTGAAATGGGCTATGACTTCCTTACGTGCCTCACAACGCTTATTATTCTTAACTCTATCACGTGCGTATTATAGTTCCTGTTAAGTGTACACTTGTTGAATCACATGATCAACGTCTTCCTG